AATCAAATTTACGTTTATCAACTACCTGGTTAGATAATTACACAATGAGGTAGATAGTTCCGTGCACATATATCTAGATGAACAGACAGACATCTAGTGAAACAAATGCTTAGGCAACTACATAGTTAGGTCAATAGTTAGATAAGTAGATAGGTAGTTAGTGGGCAGCTAGTTAGATAGATAGGCATATAGGCAAGTAGGTAGGTAACTAGGTAGATAGACGATACAAACTTGATTGGTAGATAGTTAAACAGATTGCTATATGTGTTTATATGTAAGTTAATGGGTAAAGGGATATATCTGTTGAGTTGCGTATCAGTTATGAACATGAATGGCTTAGATGGTAAAAAAATCTCATAAGAAAAATAAATCAGAAAAGATGTGGAAATAGAGAAAAATTGATGGGACATGTACATGCACGAAAAATCTGAACACTCCTCGATACTAGTTGAGATTTTCAATTGTGAATCAGAAATACTAATGAGAAGTGTGGCGATTTTCAGATAGAAGAAGTGTTAATACTGATGGAATTATGCTTTATTGAGCTTCTTCATATCATCAATTGTCAACTGTGACAATTTGTGATAGAAGGTATGTTAGTGCAGATGGAGTTACACTTTATTATAATCCTTCATATCATACAATCGCCTCGTTTACATGTAAAGCACACGTTTATATACACGAGTAGAATAAGAGATGATGAAAAGAAAGATGATGAGACCAAGGAGAGAACAATGTAAGAATGAACAAGTGATGAGGCCAAGGAGAGAACAATGTAAGAATGAACAAGTGATGAGGCCAAGGAGAGAACAATGTAAGAATGAACAAGTGATGAGGCCAAGGAGAGACAGATATAGAAGAACAATAGAGTAACAATACATATAATATACGAGTGAATGGTAATATAGAATGAGAAGCCCATTACGACAGAAAGAGAACAAGGTTCAACCATGCATAGATAAACGTAAGAGTAACGCGATTATGAACACTATGTATCATTGATCGTACAAGGGCACACCGAGAAAGAAAAGATATCACATAAGATAATATGCCCATTAGCACAAAAAGTATGCGGAAAAGCGACCAAAACATTGTAACACATAGACTGAGAAAGTTTTAGATTGTGTGAGAGATGATCGTTTTCATGTCAGTTTTTTGTAAGTATCTTTGGATGCCAATTGAGAACCACAATTGGCATCGGAGAAAACAGCCGGTAAGTTTTAAGTGTTTTTACACGTTTTTCCATTGTTTTTGTCTGTTTGAGCAGTCCAGCAATCGCCCAAATAGCATTCGAATATTTTCTCTGTCATAAATCTAGGATAGAATTACATCAGGATGATAACAAATTAATTTCCGAATCAACAAAGATAATTGATCTCGTATTTATTCCTAGATTTCTTTCATCAAGCTTATCTGACATTCTACAAGTTACATAATATTTCATCATCTTTCATCACTACTACACCAAATCAACGTCGAAGCTATGAAATTGCTACGTATTTTTGTGACAATTCTACTATCCGCGCTTCTCTTACTCGTTATATTTTCAATGTTCAAAGGTATTCCTGCATTTTTCTTCCTTCAAACCATTCACTTGAACTACGTAAGTTCTGCCAGAATTGAGCAATGGAAACCGACTCCGAACTGCACTCAAGACGAGAAACAACAACAAGAAAATATATTTCTACAACAGCTCCGTCAATTACGAAGCTGGTCCGCCTGCTATTCCGATCAGTATCTATTGCAGTTGTATGAAGCCGATCTTAATATGTCGATTGACGATGGTAGAATCTTATTGTTCGATGTGGGCGCCAACAAAGGATACGTCATCGCGACCTGGCTATCACTGTGGATGCCTGAACTTGGGATTGATCCTCAAAGGTTGCACAAGTTCCTTCGAACAAGATTGAAACTGAATAATTGCGGAGCATGTCGTGATTGTAAAGAGATCGGATTCATCCACGTAAATGTCACAAGACGTGTCAAGAAGACTGTCGAAATCTATGCCTTCGAACCACAGCAGAGTACCTATCAAGCCTTGCGTCAAGTACAACAATGGACCAACCTATCCTCTTTTCATGTGTATGATCTGGGATTCAGTAACTACACAGGTGTTGCTCTACTAAATGAGTGCAATACAGGAGCTGAATCATGTGGACTGGCCATGAATCCCAATATTGCAAACAGAAACCGCTATGTCAAAGTGAATATCACCACGCTGGATCATTTTACTCAGCTGCATCGAATCCATCGTCGTATTGATGTGTTGAAAATCGATACCGAAGGATTCGATCCATTGGTGCTTCAAGGCGCCGATCGACTCTTGAATGAGCATCAAGTACGATTATTGATTTTCGAATATCACGGTGTTGGTATGTGGTCAACGACGACTCTCAAGAAAGTGGTGCAAAATCTGGACCGAAAAGGCTACACATGTTACCAACTAGGTCGAACTGGAATCTTACGCTTGAGTGGTTGTTGGTCTCCGAAATTCGAAACAAAAGCGTGGAGCAATGTCCTCTGTGTATCGCGAAATGAGCAAATACTGATTCAATCTATTGAGAAGCTTTTAGTACCAAAGGCTTGAAAGAAAGACAATCAGAGCTCATATCGATACTTCTGACAGTAGATCTACGGTTCTTTTGGCTTTATGTCGCCAGGAAGAAAGTTGATTTGTTATTATTTTACTTCTGTTCATGTATCCGAGTTTATGGGCAATAATTTGAATCAAAATAGTTTTGACCTAACAACAACACGAACAAGAATACTCTTTGTTTTTAGAACGTTTCTTGAAATTGATTATCATTATTCAATAAATAATATTGCCACACAGAAAAGTACTCAAACTACATTGGGATCTCAACTATGAATTCAACAGAACAATTATTGTACAGGCTTGTGCATAACCTTTTGCTAGGGAGTAGCACTATGATTTCAAGTTGTATACCTAATGAATTTTATACCAAATTAAAGCGCGTCAAAAATAGAATTTATTAGTATTAAATAGTAAGAGTTATCAAAACCTTTTAATGTCAAACTTACGAAATTTTCAGAAATCTTATGCTTTTTTTGGCATAGAAAATTAAGACATCAGCAATGCAAATATAGAGTAAAATATTTTCCTTTGATTTTTTTACATAGTTTGATAGAACTCGTCGAGTTCTACAAAATTGTCTATATTAAAAGTTTTTTAAGCTATTTTTCTAAGATAAAAATTTTAAAAATGAGTTGTAAAACCGTTAAAAATGTTTAAAAACTCTTTTTTATGAAAGAGAAACATTCGATTTTCTCAATAAAATTAGCTTCTTTCATTATTTTTACTAACAAAGACGCTTCGAAATATACTCATCCGATGCGGCGTGAAAAACTGCGTCTAATGAGTATATTTCGAAGCGTCCTTGTTAGTAAAAATAATGAAATAAGCTAATTCTATTGAGAAAATCGAGTGTTTCTCTTTCATAAAACAAAGAATTTTTAAACATTTTTAACAGTTTTACAGGGTGGGTAAAAATGTTTTTCCAGGGGGTAACACTATAATTTTAAATAGAGTCAGTAATAAATTTTATACCGAATTAAAGTGCGTCGAAAATGGAGTTTTTTTATACTAAATTCTAAGAGTTATGGAAACCTTTTGATGCCGAACTTAAGAAATTTGATGCAGTTTTGGCATAGAAAACTAAGGCGTCAGTGATTTAAAAATAGATTTTAGTATTTTGTTTAGACATTTTTGCATGGTTCGATTGAGCTCGTTGAGCTCTACAAAACTGTATATATTAAAAAAAAAGTTTAAGCCAGTTTTCTGAGACAAAAAAACATTCAAAAAACCAATTGGAAAATGCTAAAAACGTTAGAAAACTCGTTTTTTGTCATTTGAAGGAAAAATATTCGTTTTTTCAATAAAAATAGCTTCTTTCCTTATTTTCACTAATAGACATATTTCGAAATGTAATCACTAGACGCAGTTTTTTGCGTTGTATCTGGTGGTTACATTTCGAAATGTCTGTATTAGTGAAAATAAGGAAAGAAGCTATTTTTATTGAAAACACGAATATTTTTCTTTCAAATGACAAAAACGAGTTTTCTAACGTTTTTTAGCATTTTCCAAGTGGTTTTTTGAATTTTTTTATCTCAGAAAACTGGCTTAAAAATTTTTTAATATATACAGTTTTGTAGAGCTCGACGAGCTCAATCAAATCATGTAAAAATATCAAAACAAAATACTAAAATCCGTTTTTAAATCACTGACACCTTAGTTTTCTATACCAAAAATGCATGAAATTTCTGAAGTTCGACATCAAAAGACTTTCATAACTCTTAGAATTTAGTATAAAAAAACTCCATTTTCGATGCACTTTAATTTGGTATAAAATTTATTACTGACTCTATTTAAAATTATAGTGTTATCCCCCTGGAAAAACATTTTTACGCACCCTGTACAAGTCATTTTTAAAATTTTTTATCTTAGAAAAATAGCTTAAAAAATTTTTAATATAGACAGTTCTGTAGAGCTCGACGAGTTCTATCAAACTATGTAAAAAAATCAAAGGAAAATATTTTACTCTATATTTGCATTGCTGATGTCTTAATTTTCTATGCCAAAAAAAGCATAAGATTTCTGAAAATTTCGTAAGTTTGACATTAAAAGGTTTTGATAACTCTTACTATTTAATACTAATAAATTCTATTTTTGACGCGCTTTAATTTGGTATAAAATTCATTAGGTATACAACTTGAAATCATAGTGCTACTCCCTAGCAAAAGGTTATGCATAAGTCTGTAGTACTCAGAAAGGCCTGGTATATTCTTATGATCTCTTTTGTCATTGCGTATCCCATAATTATGTTCATTGCTATATCAGTTCGGCATGGTTTGCTCTGCGTATATCCTTCACGCTTACGAGAAGTCTCTCTGATCGCACGCGAGCACATATAGAAAGCAAAGAAAGGTGAGAAGGAGAAGCATTTCCAACGAATTTATTGAACATATAAAAAAAAACAAATTTATGATTTCTTTTGAACTTTTTCTAATGTTTTTTTGTACTCCAAAAGATGAGGATGATTTGGAGACAATTTTTCTTGAGCAATTTCTACTGCTTGCTGGGCATTTTTCTTTGCTATACTATATTGCTTAGTTGCCAAATGTAACTTCGCCAAATTGTGGTAGATTGCAGCTAAATCAGGATGATTTTTTAGTAGTTTCTTTTCACGAATTTGTAATGCTTTTTGAAAATATGTCAATGCCGTTGGATAATCTTCCATTGCTCGATAAGTTTCACCTAAATTTGAATATGTGGTTGCACATTCTAGAGGATTACATTGAATGTTTTCTTGAATATTCAATGCTTTTCGATGAAATGAAATTGCCATTTCATTATTGCCCATTAATCGATGAACATCACCTATACTAGTATACATGACAGCCCGATTGGGATGCTTCTCCGGTAACGTTTCTTCAGCTATTGTGACGCACTTTTCAAAATACTGAAGTGCTTTTGAGTAATCTTGCATACATCGATAAACTCTTCCTAACAAGCAGTATGTTGGACCGAAAGCTGGATTACCTGCTTGCAATTTATCTTGTTTAATTTTTAAATCTTCTTCAAGTGCATTTAGAGCTGCGGTGTAATCACCCATTCTTTCGTAACACGCTGCAAAATGAGAATGACTGACAGCTAATGAAAGATAATCCACAGGTTGAGTTGTTTCTATTATTTTATGTGCTTTTTGATAAAAGTCAAGAGCTTTCGAGTAGTCACCCATCCTATTATGCACATGGCCGATGTTGCTGTAGGAAATAGCTAATTTGGGATCATTCGGAACTAGAGCTTGTTCGTAGATTCCATGTACTTTTTCGTAAACTTCAAGTGCTTTCGTATATTCACCCTTGTTTATATGCACTTGACTAATATTGTTATAGCACTCAGCCAAAAGAGGATGGTTCGGAGGCAGAGCTTTTTTGTAGATTTCATGCGCTTTTTCGTAATATTCAGCTGCTTTCGAGCTGTCACCCATGTTTGTATACACTTGACCGACGTGGCTATAGCAATCAGCCAACTGAGGATGATCTGGAGGCAGAGTTTTTTTGTAGACCGTTTGCGCTTTTTCATAATATTCAACTGCTTTCGAATTGTCACCCATGTTCTTATACACTTCACCAATGTTATCATAGCAAGTAGCCACCTGGGGATGATCGGGAGACAGAGCACTTCCCAATATTTTCAAACTTTTTTCATAAAACTGAAGTGCTTTCGAGAAGTCGCCAGTGCTGCTATACAATTGAGCCATACTGTCACAGGAGGTAGCGAGGTCAGGATGGTTCGGAGGTAGAGCTTTTTCGAGGATTTTATGTGCTCTTCTGCCAAATTCAAATGCTTTTGAGTGCTCACCCATCTTGCTATATACTTGGCCGATGTTATTGCAGGAAATAGCTAAACCGGGATGATTCGCAGGCAGAACGCTTTGTGCTATTTCGATCTCTTTTCTGTAAAATTCGAGTGCTTTCGAGTAGTTACCCATGTGGTTATGTGCCGCAGCGATGTTGACGTATGAAGGGCCCAAACTGGGATGCATCGGAGGAACAGTTTTTAGGTTGATTGCCAGAGATTTTTCGTATAATGAAGTTGCTTCTTTGTATTCTCCTTTGTTCTGCTTCACCAATCCAAGTTGGTGATAAATAAGCGCTCTACTAGTATCGTCGGTTATCTTCTTGAGTAATTCCCTGTAGAGTTCTTCCGCTGGATTGAGATGACCCATTGTGAGCATTACATTACCAATTCGTTGCCATCCATCGCCATCAATCTCTTCTTGCATGCGTTGACTAAGAGCAATCAGTTGTGGATCATTATCGTTTATGAGAATCAATTGAACTTCCCACAGACGACTATTGTTGGCCGTCTGTTTGACTTCACCGATACGAAAAATAGTATGCATTGAGAAGAGGACTTCTTCTTTTGTGCGGGAGTAACTGACGTTCGTGATAGAAGCGAAGTGACTTGATAAGACAGCAGGATTAATGAACATTTTGAAGAGAACTCCCACCATATCACTTTCTGATAAGGCATTTTCGGCGTAATTAAGGGAAACTTCTCGATTATAATTGGAGGAGAAAAAATTGTTAAATGATACCAGGCCATTTTTGGTTTTCAGGAGTTTGTCGAAGTCAGTTTTCAATAAACCTTGTCCACGGTATACAATAAAGGGCTTGCTAGGAACATATTTGAACTGTTGCTGATGTAATTCTTTAATTTGACAATGAATATCACGAATAAAGAAACCCATTTTCATAATTATTTCGACTTGTAGTGTTTGAAGAGACCACATGAGCATCTGATAGATGAAACTCTCACGAGTGTACCACCATATGGATGATTGTGGACGATAATCACGTTCAAACTCAGCGATTTGATTCAATGTAACAGCATTGTTACTGCATGTATCGCGCAAAAATTGAATAAAATCCCTGATGGCTTGTTCACTATGGTCGATTTCAAGGAGAAGTTCCTTGAATATGTTAGCATATATAAATGAAGGATCCACTTGATCCGGACTCATGCTGTGAATATCTTTACTAAGGTCAACGATGCTTATCGAGTTGAAATCTTGATTGTGCTGCTTCACGGCCGCCTGCAATGCTTTACAAATAGACTTGATATCCGTATGAACACCTTTAATTTTGGACCATTTTGTCGTCCATTCTTTATGATCGGCTTTGTTGTCGCACAAGACGTAAATACTATGAAGATGGGGAATATCATGGATTTCGGGCATATGTGTTTGGCCCATAGTACCGTCTACAATGAGAAATGCCTTTCTGTCATTGACTTCCTTGAGGAAGTCGACACATTCTTTACGTTGCGTGAAAGTATGAACATTATTGGCTATGCTTTCCAGTTGTGTCAAAATACTTTGACAATCTTTGCTTGTTTGGTTAATATTGGGATCCAACCATATCAAAAGAAAACTTTGCATAATTCGCTGTTTTGGACGTGTGTCATTCGTCCGTCCTGATGCTGTTGTCACTGGGACTTTTGATGATGAAGGCACGGACCCTTTTGATTTTTGTATATCCATACTGCTCTGATTGATCAGTTGATCGTCAATCGAAAATTATGAATGACTGCTTTTTTGCTTAGATAGACACCACTTTCTCTATTTATATCGCTATTGATCCACTTCCTTTCTCTACTTTTTTGACTAAAAAAATTTTTTTTTTCTGTGTTGACAATCAAGGACAAACACTATCTGATTTCTATTGAAAATACTATGGTGAAGAACGAGAGAGACAGAAAGAGAGAAATATTTATTCGCTGGGGAAGTCAGAACGAACAAATAAAAAAAACCAAGAGCATCATTTTTCATATTGCTATTCTTTCATACTTTCTTTTGCTTTTTGGCCCTGCAATAGCTTTATTGATCATGCGTAGGATATGCTCTCTCCCTCAATAATTTTCATAAGAAGGACATCATTCATTCTTTTTTTTTTGTATTAGATTGCTGTCAACTATTCACATTTGATGCGACAAGAACGCAAAAAAAAAAGTCGCTACTTTATTTTTTTTATAATGTTGTGAAATGGTTAATACTCGTTCCACTTCACTTCTTTTCTCTTCTCTGTATGATTTCTCCCTTATAGTGTTGACCTTAACGATGTGTGTTGCTCTTTCTCTAGTCGTGTTTGAACATCATCGAAGGCTTTTTAATATGACATAGATACAATCGGACAACGATAGTCATGATTCAGAAAATGACTATTTAAGAAAATTAAACGTAGTTCAAGTCAACTCAATAAGAATAAAGAACTCAACAAAATCAGAGTGCGAAGGTAAAGGCGACAGCCTTCTGATCATATTACAGCTGATATCCGTAAGGTCGAGCAGTTTTTGACAACTAATCGTATTCTCTAACTGGAAATGATTCATATGTCGGCTTTATCCTCATTTAATTGGAAAGATCAAATATAATCTAAATGTTTCGAATTTTTTAATTCTTTTAGTTCGTGCTAATGTTGAAAAATAGGTGTTTTATGTTTCACATGCAGCTTGATTCTGTTAAATTGAATAGAATTACTATATTGTTATTCTATTTTCTTGAATTCTATGATTGTTTAAAGGTACAGATCTTTAAATTCTATATGTACTTTGAATTCTGTAATTTTTTTTTTTGAATTGTTGATTTATGGATCGTGGACTTGTCTTTATAGTCTATCGCATTTTTTGAGAATTATTATGTATAAATATGGTATTATTTATTCCTGATAATTCATCGAATTCGGAAAACAAAAGTACCTAAGAACATACGACAAAAAATATAAGAACAATAAAGAAACATCTATGAGATGAAAAGACAATAAAATAAAGAAATGTTATTCACTTTTATTCAACACAACAAGTTTTTATGTTTCTATTGATTTGCGTCGTCTGTGAATTCAGTAACAAATAGAAATTACTAGTACACATCTTAAACTAGTTTATTAAATTTCACTTTCGCATATACATAACTATTTCTAATGTTAGAAGAAGATAAATAAGGTGAGTACCATGAATATATCATCATTCTCACTCTAGTTAAAGTGACTGTTTCTTACGTTTGTTTTTTTTTCTTTTAGTGATGAACTGTGTAGTTCGACTTATCTTAAACAACATATAGACAACAGAATCTATCTGCTTTTGCAAAAAAAAAAAATTGTTGATGACATCGGTATGAATTGACGATTGAATGATTATATTGGATTTTTCCTGAAAGTGCATATATCAAGAACAAGAGAGATTAACAAAAAAAATAACATAGGTCACAACGAAAAAAAAAAAACATTCTAATAATATACTTCTATTGTTGTTGTTATTTTTTTTTGCTCATATATATGCACTGCATAACACTAATATGAAAGTATAAACGAATAAATGTTGATAACAAAAAAAAAAATAACAAGGTTACGTTTTTTTCTTTCTTTCTGTTTGATTGCATCTTATGAAGAGCCCTTTCTTGCTATCCATCTCTCTCTATTTTGTAACGAAATGGTAAGTTTAAATGAATAAGAATATGTTGAAATAAATTTAATACTTCTCATTGGATTGCAGCAAATTTTCTTTCCAAGGTTCAAGAATCAATCAGTTCTCAAAGGCTTTCATTTCTTTTTAATCTTACAAAAACATTTTTAAATTTCTTATGATGTAAATAAATATGAAAAATGATTAAAAGATTGGTGACAGCGAAAAATATTCGATATGTTGTTCTGAAACCTTCTTATTTATGAAAATGTTTATGCCGTTAGAAACAATTCTTTTAATATTAAGTGCCACTATGTAGAGCCAATAAAATAACAATGATTAATGCATTGTCTAATTATTATTAGAATACACGATAAAGTCATGAATGCTCTTTGAAACTAATTATGAAACATAGTGAAGGCATTGATAATGTAGCAAAAAAACAAAATCAAACCGAAATGGATAACAGCATACAGACTTTATCATTGAAATGATTGTATTGAGCTTAACACAATAATTGTCATTAATATTTCACTTTTTGTTAATGTTGATAAAACGAGAAGTCATAGTCAAATAATAGAATACAGTCAAGAGTTCTTTATCATCAAAACATATTTACGATATTTGATAAAGATATTACAACAAACATATTCTCAATAAGAACATTTACTAATGAACAAACACTATCAGTAGTACTTGAAGCAATACATTATTATAGTACTATCAACATAAATAAATTTGAAGTTCAACAATTTAGTTATGTTTGATAAAAATAAAAATATTAATAATGAAAAATATGAAAATTTCAATGAAATATTTTGAAAATTAGGTTTATTAAATCTTTAAAATTTTTTCAAAGAATTTCAAAAATTCTACATCAGTTAGTTTATTATTGACAAAATAAGTTTTAAATAAACAAGATCCTTTGAAAAATGTTATACAAAGTATTCATTCACGAATTCAATACCAACCTTGATAAACAACAAGAATGAATCTAAGAAAATTCAAATAATTAAAGCATATCCT